GTATGATTTCAATTTTCTGAACGCCCATTTCAGCCCTAACTGTCTTTCTCAGTCTACTTTGGTCAATCAGAAGAGGTTTCAAACTGGTTAGGGTCAAGTTGCTGTGGCTTCTGGAAAGAGGCCACAAGGCTGTCTTTTTCCTAGAAAACCATTGACATCTTGCTCTATGACTTTCTACTGCTTCTGTTTTCAAAGTCTTCTTCCCACAGCTTCCTGCCACTGTATTGAATGTGCAAAACATGGCTGCACATACAGGGAAGAAGAGGGCAGGTTTCCTTCCCTGTAAATTCAGATGTCCTAACTGCAGCATCAGCATAGAAGCATTTTCTTAAGTACAAGCAAATGCATTGGTATGTTTTACCATTATGACAAGCTCAGTTCATGAACGTTTATTACCTTGTCAAGATACTTTTGTATTTTTTTTTTTTGTATTTATGTCAATTTTTTAGTCCACCTTAATGTACAGATACATGAACCCTTGTGCTGGGGATGGAACTCTGTGGCAGAGTGCTTTTCTAGCATGCATAAAACCTTGATTTGGTCCCTGCACACACCCCCCCACAATAGGAACATCTGTATTAATGATGATTGCTAAATTACGGAAAAGTGATAGGTGTTCATATACATATGTAAATATTCATGTATGACATAGGAACTCTTAAAATAAGATTATCTTTTGACAGTTACAACTTTKACCTAAAGTGCAGCATCTCCCAGGCCACCCTGGTGCAGCTGGATCTCGGCTTAGGGACCTTATATCTGCATGTGAAAAGCCATAGAGAAATGAGTCATCTACTTTCCCCATACTTGGAGCTGTAGGAGGCAGAGGGACATTTTTCTCCTTTCTTTTTCTCTTCCCCCCAACTCAGGTTTTCCAGGAAGACTCCAGGTGTGGAATTGGATGATTTTTATGAGGAAGGTGACCCCTCACTGAAGTGGAAGCTCCTCTCTTTAGGAAGAGTCTTAAAGCCTATGTGGGCCATGATTCTGGATAAGCCTTTGCTATTGGGTAAGGCAATTATTTTTATAGCTTCAAAGTTATGCCCTAATATTTGATTATAATACCTGACCTTTGGCATAAGCTCTTGTGAAACCCATGCTACAACAGAAATATTATAATGTATCTTCATGCCAGAAGGAAAAGAGCAAGTACTAGAGTAGTGACAGTACTGACCAAGATCAATCAGTCACAGGCAAGATGAGGAGTGGGGTGGAGAGAGAGAAAGGAATTGAAAGCATACACAGATGATGAAGAGATGGTACACTGATCATGAGACAGAGATGGATACATACATAGATATTAGTGATAGGTAGATAATGAATTATATGTAGATGATAGGATGACAGATAATTCATACATAATGATGGTAGGTAGATAAAAAATAAATTATAGTCAGATGCTAGATTAATAGATACTAAATATAAAAAGATACTAAATATATAAATAGGTAGATAGTAATGGGTAAATAATAGAAGATGATAAATAATTGACGGATTATGGATGAAAGGGAGATTAAGTTCCATTTTAATTGTATATTACTTAACTTTTTAAAAATTACCTTGATAGGATATTTAAAATACTAAGTATAACAAAAATTTTTTCAATTTTTCTCCAAACTTTCCATCAATTATTTTCTTATTTTTATGAGCCTAAATAAAGTTAAAACACAGGAATTACAGTGAGAAAAGTAAATCACAGAAGAAGCACAGGTTTGCTTTTGTGACTCACCTTGAATTTAAAAAAAAAAAAAATTGTTAACTTACTTGCTTTTTTGGTTGGTTTCTTTCTATCTTTCTTTCTTTCTTTCTGTTTTTTTTTTTTTTTTTTTTCATTTTTCTTTGCAGTGCTGGGGATGGAACCCAGAACCTCACACATGTCAGGCGAGCACTCTAGCACTAGCCAGCCATATGCCAAGGCCAGGGGTTGTTTATTTTTTAATCCAAATTGAGAAATATGAATTTTTGCTATTCTGAAAATTAGATTCTTTATAAAATGAAGAATTTAAGTTGTTAGGTAATTAAAATTTAAAATAAATATGTATTATTTTGTATAACTAATAACTCAAATGACCAAATTATGTAAACATTTTAGATAAACACTAAATTTTAAAACAGTTTTCAGTGTGTTTTCTTATGAGGTATGTTCAATTGATTTGGAAAACACCAAAACTTGATTATGTATTATAGCTGATGTAAAAAAATGATAACTAATAAAGAAAACTAATGCCTACTGGGGAGGGGTTGTTCTTTTGATTTTTATACATTTGCTGACTCCTTTTTTATATAAATATTTTTTATTTGTTCTACTTAGTTATATATGACAGTAGAATGCATTTATGCACTTTGATATACATAAATAGGGTATAATTTCTGATTGTTCATGTTGTAGAATCACATCCGTCATGAGTCATATATGCACAAAAGGTAAAAATGTCTATTTCATTCTACTATCCTTCTTATGACTCCTTTTAATATTGCAYTTCCAAATATGTTGTGGGCATTTGCTACTTTGGATAAGAGAGTTGATAAATGTAATTTCACCTCAGAGAACCAGGTAGGGGAGATTGAAGATAAATTTCTTTAACATAATCTTAAAATATGTTACAGATTTTATATATTTATATCATTTTTCTTAAATAAGTAGCTGACCTAATTAAAAAACAAATGTAGTTGATCATACTTTCTGCTATCAATATCTTTTTGACAGATTGAACTGATAAATGTACAGGCTTTAGACTTGAAAATCATCACAACTCTCATTCCCACCACTGTTGGATGTTGGCCTGATGGTTATGCTATCTGCCAAATGAAACAATAGCAAAATACACATCTTTTTCAAGTGCATACAGAATATTCATTCAGAGAGATCCTGTGCTGGTTAAGAAAATAAGCCTTAAAAATTTTGCATGCAAAATGTTTTCTGATCAAAACAGAATCAAACTAGAAATCAAAAACCAAAAGAAAGCAAGGGAAAACCCCCAAACATTTCAAAATTCAACAATCAAATAATCCAGGGGCCAAAGAATAAGTCTCAAGGGAAACAAGAAAAGAGTCTGAACTGAGGGAAAATAAAACTGGGATTCCGGGGAATACAGATCTCAATGATTATCTGAGAGAGGCTGCCCAAGAGTCCTGAGCTTTGGGTGGAGCAAGAGCTTTTCTCTTTATTGTCTCCTGGTTTAAAGAGAGTGTTTTAAACCTCCATGTTAGCCCCAATCATCTTGGACGTAACAGAAAAGTTTATGAACATTAGAAGTTTAGGAATATTGGGTTTGCTCCTTACAAATGCACTTCATAATGATACTTCAGGCAGCCATGCATAAATGCCACTGCTCTGCAGGAACTGGCTGAATATCAATGAGAAGACAAGAGTGATCACGTGGGCCTGCTGTTTGGCTGGGCTGACTCTGACATCATAACCTGTCTTCTGAAAGCAGTCTGCGACCTTTTTATAGAAGTCAAACAGATAAAGCAAATTCTAGAGATGTGCTAGGGACCAGGATAAAAAAAAAAAAAAAAAAAAAAAAAAGTGCATTGTTTTCTTCCAGTTGTGGTCACCAGTGGATAAACTGTGTCTCTAGATCCCTTGCTTCATATTTCCCAAAAGTAAGTTCGTCTTGTTTTTGATTTTTTTGTTTTGTTTTGTGGTTTCTTGTTTGTATTTTTTTTTTGGCCTTGGGGATTTTCTTTTTTTCCTTCTTTTTATCTTGTCACAGAATAATAAGGTTTTGTGAACTGAAGGTTAAATATCTGTAGAGAAATTAGTTTGAAAATTAATGGGCTATTTTGAAGTGCTTTGATGTCTGGAGCTTAATATTAGATAGGTAAAACAATTGAATTAAAATGTGAGGTTTTAACAAGTATGCACGTATGATATTATTCTAAACCAGAAACTGAGAGTAAGAATAAGCGGAGATTGGCTAACAAGTTGATTATGAAGAACTTAAAAATCTTAAGAACTGACTTGGAAGCCTGAGTTGTGTTTTTCTGACTTTGAGACTGTTTACCAAGAACATTTACAGAAATCTTTTTTATTATCCCTTTCTCTCATTCTCAGGCTCTAAGAATTTTAGAAACCTGAGAAGCTTTCCAGAATCTTTTCCTCTTTGAATATCATGAGTTGAATCAGAATGTGAAATATGTAGCTTTTCCTTCTCACAGCACTGCTTTAAATGTGCATGGTTTGTGGTAGACAGATGATACATGCTTCTATAGTACAAACATTTTGTTTTGAATTTAAAAACAGCATCAAAAGATAAAAGTCAAGTCATTCCAGTTGGAAACTATTTGCCATATGCATATCAAGGAATTCATGTTATCAGTCTTTTTACGAACTGAAGAACATACACCAGTTGGGGAGAAATAAAGTTGTAATACTATAACTTACAGTGGAAGATCAAAGGGGTGGGGGAGGGATTGATGGCTCCATGCTGCCCAGGGCTATGGCTGATTCCACAGCCAGAAGATCTCAGTCTGAGCCATCTCACAATCCCCTACAGCCCAGCATGACCCCCTTCTAAGTGCCCATTCATAATTCTCCGCACTAAGAATGCCCATGGGGAGCCTCAGCACCCTCTCATGGAGCAACCTGACCTACTGCTATTTCATTCTTGAAATTTCCTTTCCCTCCCTCTCTCTTTCCACGGGCTTCCTGACCTCTTTTCTTCATCCGATAGACTTGCTTCCAGCCTCAGTGAACAGCCTGTGTAGTTTTCCTCTCTGGCAATATCCTCTGAGCCTGCCTTGGCCAACGGGATTGCCTTTGGAACTGGCCCCTGGACTCCTCACCCCAGCTTTGACTAGGAAACAGCAGCACCCCGTGTGTGATCCTGTCCCATGGCTGGGACAGGGGCTTCAGGTGGGCTCATACCCACTCCTYATCACTATGGACCTATTCACAGCAGCCCTGTGTGTCCATGGGGTCTGCAGAGAGGGAGGAGACCACTTATTTCAGAAGTCAGGACTTAAGAGCCGGCTGCCAGTCTTCGCCATGGAGCTGCTGGCTCTGTGGTAGAAGTCCTGACCCAGCCTTCCAAGTCATATTCCTGGCATGCTTCCCAGAAAACTGGTAAGCATTCCAGAATCTCTTTATTTTCTATAATGTAGCTTAGACGTCCTCATTCCTCCCACAGGAAAGACCTTACAAAAGCACTTGTGTTCCACAGTTTTCAGAGGAGGCCCAGCAAATCGTATTTGTATAGTGTTGGTTAACTGGGGCTGTGGAGAGAAGTGGCAATAGTATTGGCCTCTGAGGAATTTTGTATCCCTGCTACAATAAAATGTAGATATATATTCCTCTACTAATTCACACACACACACACACACACACACACACACTCCTCTACATGTTCTTTACTCAATATCAAATATCATAAAACTGATTTGCTTCTTTATTAGAGGAAAGTCCTGGTCTCCTGCTGTTGTAATCCTTAGAGGAGAAGGCAGTATCCATAGAAGAATAATGCTGCTCCTTGCAGGCAATTTTAGGTAAAGTATTTAGGATGTTTCATAGAGAACTAACACTACAGAGGACAAAGGTTGGTGAATTCTTAATCCAGCAGAGGCCAACCCAAGCCCAATTGAGGGGAAATGCTTACCCTCTACCTCGAACACAGTCCCAAACATATCACTCTCTATTGTTGGAAAAATTATTTCACTATGTACTTTAAGTTAAAAATTGAACACATTTCTAAGTAAGAACGACTAGAATGATCGGGTTGGAACTCAGCAGCAAATTAAAATATCTAGACAATATTTGTAAGAAGACAGAGATAGTAAAAGATGTTAAGCTTTCATAAAATAAGTCATGGTTCCCTGGGAAACTCCAAAATTTAAGAGTGACCATGAAAGAACTGTAAATACCTCTCATATCTTTGGTACAGGAGAGAAAAGAAGAAATTTTTACCAATTTAAAAAGAATCGATAAGGTATGAAGATAGAACTAAAAGCAAAGACAGCATAGGTTTAATAGGAAAATAAAACACAATGCATGATCATCCCAAACAAAAATGCATGCATAACATAATTCACTTCATAAAATATAGCTACCAGTTTAGATTTCTAAACATTGAAGCAGTTATGAAATTTTCATACTTAGTTGGATATTTAGAAATTCACCCCAGGGTTAAGAAATTTATTAGGGTTAATGATTTATTAGACAAATGTTAATCTCAAGAAACTAGTGACTCCATGTTATCAGAAATAGAAAGAACCTTCCATTGAAACATGAGCTGTAGAGTCATCTTTTATACACCCAACCACTTAGCCTTTAAAGTCACCTGCTAAAAATCAGCAAAGGTATAATAAGAATGCCAAACCTATCACTAAAGTGAGGAATTAAAATAAAACTCAATCATGAAGTCATCAACCAAGTAAATCTACACAAAGGATATGGCCCTAGATTTGTCAAGACAACTTTGAAAAGAACAAGGAGAAAGATCTTTCCTTGTACTTCGGAAGGCTTATTATGGAGCTCTAGTTACTAGACTGAAGGTAAGACATACACGTAGAGATTAATTGAAAGAGTAGATTACTTCAATATGCATATGCATGTACGTGTATAAATACACAAATACATATACATCTGGTATTTGAGAGAATAGACACAACAATTAAGAAAGGAGAAATCATCAAGTAACTAGTGTCTGGATAACTTGCCTGACAATTACAGAAGAAAAGAAGAACAACAACATGGTAGATCATTGTCTCACATCTTATACACAAATAAACTTGGATTAAAGAGCTAATTATAATGAAAAAAATCTTTGAAACTATTAGGAATATATATTTATACTTTCTAAACTGGACATACACAGGAAATACAGAATCAGAGGGAAAAGTTGTTAAATTTGACTAAAACAAATTTAAAATTTGCTTATGATAAAATATACATTTATTTTGGATTGGCAAAACTAATGAACTAGCAACGAATAAGCATCTGGAATAATAATGAACTAAAAAAAAAAAAAGCCAAACAGAATACAGAAAAAGCTATCGACAGAAGAAATCTAAATAGTCATTCAACATGAAAAATTTCTATGAAAAACAAAATGATACAAATTCAAATAATTAGACACCCTACACACTCTTCAGATTGACAAACGTATGTTTGTGCTTAGAATGGGTCTGGGAGTTATAGATTTTTGTTTTCGTTGCTGTTCTACCCTCAACTTTCTCTGGCCCTGTCCACCTGAGCCACAAAGGGGATCTCTCTCCATTCTTTCACCCCCACCCCATCAATAAGCCACTGTGGCTTTTGCTCAGTTCAGTGCAAATATGGGTTGAGGGATTGTAGACTTCCTGCTCCAGCCTCTGTATTGAACCCAGTACAAAGGACTTCCCTATTTACCAGCTCACTCCCACCTGTATTTACATGAAGGTCTGGTACCTCCTTCAGTGGTTGCCTAACTCTGTTTTAAGTCCCTGTGGGGTCCACACAGCAAACCTCTGCAGCAACATATCTTTGCTTGGGAACGAGGACAGGGAGTTTCCAGGAAGTGATCTGTTCATGACAGGTTCATGCACAAAAGAGTAAGTCTCCCATGTGGTGGTGTTTAAATGGTGGGCCCTAAGAATAGGGGGTCTAGGGGGAGGTAATTAGGCTATTGGGGACATTGTTTGGGGAAGGGATTAATGCTGGTCTTGCAGAGTAAGTTGGTTCTCAGGAAAGCAGGTTGTAAATCAAGACCACCTCATGAGCTTGACCCCTTCTGCATGCAGTTGATTCTCTTTCCATTCTTACCCCATGCTGTGATGCCACCAAGGGACCATTTCCAGGACACCAGTACCATGCTGTTTGGATCCTCTGGCCCTCAGAATTGTGAGCCAAATAAACTTCTTTATAAAATACCCAGCCTTGGGTATTTTGTTATAGCAACAGAAAACAGACTAAGGAAAGTCCTCTAGGGACAAAACTGAACATCATGCCAGCTAGCAAAATTGGTAATTCAAGGGGCCATATCCATCTTCATAGGGAAGACTATGAAAGGCAAATTTGGAGCTGAGAAGCCATAAGTCAGTAACTGGCCAAGTGCCTCACAAATCCATGATGGAGCAGAGCCTGGAAGCAGGGAGAGGGTGGCATGGGAGTAATAACATGCTAACTCAGGAACACCCAGACTGTAGCACTTGTGTGGGATACTGGAGTTACCAGGCTGCTCTTTTTCTGTCTGCAGGTTATTTGTTCCTGTTATGAACGAACATTTACTCATTTTCTCCCCTTCTTTCTCATTGAACAGGGCAACATGGGTAAGAGAAAGATAAGCGTGTGTCAACAAACTTGGGCTTTATTACATAAGAACATTCTTAAAAAGTGGAGAATGAAAAGAGAGCCACTAATGGTATGATTCGTTATCTGTGCCACTTTGTATTTAAAATAGGAAGATGTATATTACCTGAGAGGCATTTATGCTTTTGTTTTACATTCCCCCTACCAAAAATAAAATGAAAAACCTTTATAAAGCAGAAGAATCCGTTTTTAAGACTCTAAATCTACTTGAAGACATTTAAATTGGCAAAAACCTATAAATTGAGACCTAAAAGCACAGAGGCTGGCCAGAAACTGAGAATTCAATAAATGTTTTAAAAGCCAATAATTATTCTTCTTACTAGTGTTCCCCACTCATTCATAAGTAGTGATATTCTAAAGACACAGCAAACAAATCAACCCACAGGTAACTGTGGAATTTTTTTCTTTAAAAAAAAAATCATTTGCTGAGAAAATGATTTTTCTCAGCAAAAGAAACAATAAGAGAGATAAACAGGGAGCCTACATCCTGGGAACAAATCTTTACTCCACACACTTCAGATAGAGCCCTAATATCCAGAGTATACAAAGAACTCAAAAAATTACAAAATAAGATAACTAATAACCCAATCAACAAATGGGCCAAGGACCTGAACAGACACTTCTCAGCGGAGGACATACAATCAATCAA